CCCCAAAGACTGGTGGATCGCATCAAACAGCAGGTCTCTTCCACTGTTTACAGCAAGCAAGGTACCAACCAGCCTTAACTTGGAAATCTCACAACACAGTGACATAACATGAGATGTGGTTCTGCAATTGGACAACATTTCCGTGATATTCCTGAGTGTGTGAAGAATTACACTAACAACCAATTTAGGACTGCCAGTTGGACTAGCGTACGGTGCACTTGCATATATTGAAGGCGACATATGATAGACAGGACTCTGTTCTTTGTAGATGGAAAGAACATGTACGTGCATGACGCCTATTTCAACTGACCAAAAATTGGTCACAGTCATCCAATGGTTCATTTTTCAGGGCAATACTTTGACCATTTAGTCAACCTGTCCGATATAAAATTTTAACAAGTTTGGCAGGTAACTGCAAGTCATCATTAACTGGTGCATTTTCCATGGCAAAGCCCCTACCAGAGTTCACCTACCAACCAATCAATACTATCCTCTCAGTGCAAATACTTGTTTCCCTTTTGAATTGGTATTCATGCTAATTGTCCTGATGGATATGAAAAGTATCAAAAAAATTATTTTATTCACAAATATGCAATTTCTGTACTATCAAACAATTATAAATTGAAATCTTTCGAATAAAAATATACAAATAAATAGTTCCTAATCTGTAAATGTGTTGCAAAGCATGCCAAACATTTCAGCTGATCTGCAGAAAGTAGCTTTATGATGCTTCAGGGAGATTAGAGTCAACTGGTAATGGAATTTTTGGAAATTTAATTTTAAATATGAAAAGGAACATAAAAATTTTAAGGTTAAGGTTATCCAAAGTTATTTAGCTTACAGTTTAAGTCAGATTTGGAACTATTGTGAAAACTCGATTTTCAAAAATGAAATTTTGTTGATATATCAGTTCAAGTTAAAAAGCATCAGAACGTGTCCTACAGTATGATAGTCTGAATCCCCAGTCGGTCAGTCCAGAGAAAGCAAGTGTAAATCCCACAATGGCAGGGAGAGAACTGGATTTAGCTTACTTTAAAAAAGAAAAGATGACATCAACAAAAATGGGCACGAAACCATCAGACAATCATAGATCACTTACGTCCTGTAGGGAAAGCAGCCTGCTTTTCTCAACGAGTGTAATGATTTTGGCAACACTGCTCTCTGGGGAAGCAAAATCCACAGAACAATGACCCTCATATAAAAACTATTTCTCCTCATCTCCACCTGAAATGGGAGACCTTGCTTTTAAACTATGTCCCTTAGTTTTTTGTCCTAGAATGGGAAGCATCATCCTAGCTCCACCTCGTTATGTCCCCTCGGGGTCTTGTGATTTTACAAAATTACATCTTACGCTTCTAAACTCCAATGATTACAGGCCCAATATATCCAACCTTTCTTCACTAACTGCTCCATTCATCCTAGGAATTATCAAGTGAACGTTCTTAAATTGCATCAAGTGCAATTATCTCCTTTCTTAAATAAGGTGATCAAACTATATACAGTACTCAAGATGTGGTATCAACACCTTTTACTGTTATAAAATGGAGGTTCACCCCGCTCTGAGAACTAAAAACCAAAATACCCAAATAGGAGCACCTCGCACTATAATCTGTAGGAGGAGTGTGAAAACTGGCGTAGCCTGCTTTTCAGCAACTTCTAGTGGCTAAACAAATCAATCCCTGACACTCACTTTAAAATCAACAAGTAACACTTTATTTATCTAACTTTAACAGTCAACAAATTAACCAAACTATTAACAAACCGAATAAATTCCTAACTATTAACTATTCCCAAATAAAGCAAGATCTTATGGTATACTGTTCTTATAAATACAAATCCCACTTATATAGAAAAAGAATTCAGTTTCTTGAAATTACAGCCAGGTTATATGCCTTCCAGAATGTTTCATGCCTCCTCCGTTGATTCTTCTGTCAGGAATATTAACCAGTTGTGCCATTGGTACTGTTGTTATTTAGATGGTGCTTTCTCTTAGACGTAGAGGAGGCTGAGAGAGCCAGCGATTCTCTCTAGAGGTGACAGCCGTTAGCTTCGGTGGATAGCAGTTCGCTCTGGGGTCTTTGTCCAACTGTCCCCTTCTTTTTATACCCTTGATGACACATCAATATTTCTTACAATAGGATTGGTCCTATGTTGTCAAAACCATCAGACTTAAATTTAATAGGCTTTTGGTAGCTAAGTACCTGGTTCAAATTAATTGGCTAAATTTAAAAGCCTGTTGTATTGGTAAAAACTGCTGCTTGGCCTGCTAACTGTACAGCCTTTTGATCCAAATGTTTCAATTCAGGTGCTCTCTATGTACTGGCAAACTTTCAAGCTGCTGCTCACAAACATCCATTTTAAATCTCTAAGCACAGAAAAAGCACATAATCTTTTAAAGAGACCACACAATGCTTCCCCCCACCCCCAGCATTTTACAAACACCAAATTCTAACTTCCTGCCTCCCAATCCACAAGTACTCCACCCAACTTCGCAATATTATTACCAGCATAACTTCCCTACTTTTATAATCCATTCCCATCACAATAAACATCAACATTCTTTCCTTGCCTTCCTAATCACTTTCTGCACTTACATACTAACATTTTGTAGCTCACCCAGATCCCCTGTATGACAGAATTCTACAATCTCTTGCCATTTAAATAACATACTGCTTTTCCATTCTTTCAAGTTCATGCTTTCCCACATTATACTCCACTTGCCAAATGTTTGCCTATTTACATAGTCAAATTATATCCCGTTGCAGACTCCTTACTTCCTTTACAGAAGTCTGTTAGCTCAGTTGGTTGGATCACTGGTTTATGCTGCAGAGTGACAAACAGCGAGGGCTCAATTCTCACACTAGCTGAGGTCACCATGACAGTCCCATCTTCTCAACCTCATACTTCACCTGAAGCATGATGACCCTCAGGTTATAACACCACCAGTTGTCTCTGTCGAGAGCAGCCCTATGGTCCTCCTGGAATATGAAACTTCTTATTTTTACTTTTTGCTTTAAACTTCACTTCATGACTTTCTACCCTATCTTTATCACATTTAGCAGCCATACATTTGGTTCGTTCGTCAAATTCATTGATATTGATTGCATATTGCCACCAGTTACAGCTTGCCAATCCAAAAAATGACCCATCAATACCTATTCTTGGTTTCCTGTTAGTTAACCAATCCTCTGTGCTAATAAGTTAACCTTCTTCTCTAAGTTTAATTTAGTAAACTTTGAGATGGCCCCATCTCAAATACCTTTGGAAGTCTAAGTACATCATATTTACAGGCTCCCATTTATCCACAGAAAAAAAATAGAAAGGCAATTTCATTACAGCATTACTTCTGTTTTGGGTCCAAACTGGTGACAGTAGATCAGATAGTGATCAGTCTAGCAGCTGTCTGCATCTCTCATGGCACAGCTGATGCAAACATCACTGCAGTTTCTTGCCCATAGACGACGTAGTTAAGCAGGTACCAGAGTTTGGAATATGAATGTTGTTCATAGGTGATATATTTATCCTGCCACCAATCATCTAAAACCAATGATCTCACCATGATCATGTTGCTGAATGCAAAATGGCTGCTATGTTTCCCACAAGAAAAGTGAATATACAAATATTTTATTGGCTGCAATCCTGTGTTCATGACAAGTAGGATATAAATGCAAGTTCTTTCATTATTTAAGCTTTCAGGCCACAAAGAATTTTGCAGTAAATAATCATTTCAAAATCAATTTGATGAAAGAATTTTAAACTTCCAAGTACATGATTCAGGAAGGCAAAACATGGAACAATTTACTATCCAAATGAAATTAAGCAAATATCATCACCAACACCTCCCCATTTTATTTGCAAGCTGTTCTTGTGATAATTCCAAAATTCCAGAAATAGCAGCTGCATGAAAAATCAACAGTGATATATCAGCATATTTAATATTATAAAATCTTAAAACAACTTAGATAAAATACAACATGTAGTATTAGACCTACAGTACAAAGTAAATTGTAGTTTAGGGGGTACACAATTCAGTTTCACTTACAATCCCTCCTCAGCAATAGGTGAAGAGAAGCTCAAAAACTGAGATTTTTCATTAGAATATATTCTACAATGGAAGTATTCTAAAATCATCAAAGGCAGGACAGGATAGATGGAGACAAACTGAAGTAGTTAAAGAATAAGTCACATCAATTATTCAATATCAGTCAGACTGCCACAAGGAAATCATGCAGATACATGAATAGTATTGAGAAGTAAAACATGACTAACGTAAAATAACAAACTTTATTTGGAACAAAATAAGTATTTGCATGTTTATGCTAGTATTGTCACTTCAAAAAAAAATTGTTAATGTAGGAAGTGTTTTTAAAAGGCTCAATCAGAATCTACATGTTTCCTTCTTTCCAAGTTACTGATATGACAAGTTATCATAACCTAACCAACAATCAGATAGGTAAATAGCTGACAAAAACAGCTATTTTTGTTTCAATATAACCATAAAAGGATAATTAACAAAAATAGAAATTTAGTACTTATTTAGCTCTGTGTATTTTTAATCTCTTGAATATCCCATATACTGGACTACTATCTATTTTAGCACGATTTATTTCATTACAAAATGCCTAATTCTACATTCACTGAGGTTAGGCCAATGATCATTCATGTCCAAGACATGAATATTTTTTAAGTAAATGAAACGGTTTGAGAAATCTTATTACATTTGCACCTTTACAATACTGCACTATTTTCTTTTTACATCTGACAGTAAATTTTTCCATACTGGATTCTCATCACATTCTACATTACTCTCTTTAACATGGCCAACAACTATGGATATTGCCACAGATGCCACCTAGGCTGAATCACTTGGTCTGCTGTCTTACATATCGTGCATTACCCATAATTAGCAAAAATACATTTTTTGCAAAACAGCAAGATTAGTTCAAGGTTGCATAACAGAGACTAACAGGATTTGAAAATTTAACATATTGAGTACATACTGTTTGATCTTATCATTCTGTGGTCCAAACTTTGGTCCAGTAGGTCCCCTTCTGTAGAGAAAACATTGAATCAGAAATGCTGAACAATGACAGGCATAAAAATCAAAATTAAACATTATATAATCGGACAGGTTATCAAACTTAATTCTTGACCATCATCAGATCATGTTACACATAGCACTTTCCATTTAACAATGATCGCCAGTTGAAAAAGTAGCAGACTCCTTATTAATGCTAACTGCACTCAATTATGGAATCATACACCACAGGAAGCCTTGTAGCCCAGCTAGTTCTCCTCTAAATATACATCTAAATTCCCTTCAAAGTTCCATTAATTCTGTTTGCACAACCCTTTCATATAATGCATTTCCAACCAATATAACTTGCTGCATTAAAAACTTCCGTTTTTGGCAATTATTTAAAAGTCAAAGTCCTCTTGTTATTGCTGATTAATGGAACCAATGCCTTATCTACTCAGGTAAAATCTCTCAATTTTGAGCAACTCTGTTAAATCTCCATTTAAATTTATCTACATTTAGTGCAAGCCCAGCTTTCTCATCTCTCAATAAGAGATCAAAAAGATTATAGTTTCTAATCCATGATCAGCACTGAGTTTGTACAAGACTACAGAAAAACTACAAAGTCTCTGAGCTGGAAAGAGGGGAGGGAGTGGGAAACCAGGGCCATGGTTCCAGCTGGCAAACAAATACCTGCTTACTGGGCAAGGATGAGAATAGACTCAGCCTTACTGTCTTTCTCTCGAAGTCAAACCAACTATCGACAACACTGGCACAGGTTCATACTTATTAAATGACCATTTAGGAAAGGCACAGGGGCAAAGAAATTGCACCCTTGCGTAGGTTATTGTCAATGAAGAAGGCAGTGCAAATAAAAAAATGAATTTGTTTTCAAGTTTCTTGTTTTGATCACAGGCAGTCATTCAACATTATATACATCCAAAACTCAAAATATTTTTCCCTGAAATGAGTTGTGAAACATTGCTGATAGGAAAGACAATGAATAAAATTTATTCTCTTGGCCTGTGACTTTATTTTGGCAAAAAAAAAATCAATTCCAATCTATAACATATACTATTCAATCCTGACAGTTTTGGTGTGGGTGGAAGATTTCTACATCAAATAATAACCAAATCCACAGTTAAGTACAGTGACAGCCAAGCCTGGCTATCATTCAGAACTACTAGGTATTTTCCATTGAAGCCTTTTAAAAAAAGAACTCGATCCTGTTTGCATGCAAGTTCCAGATGTCTAAAACTTAGAAAGGGCTGATTCCAATCAATGCTGTCTCCTTGTTGGATAAAGCTGGTGAAATAGAACTGGTGCTACAACAAACTGAACAAAGACATGGGTTTAAGTTTTGTATGTGATCCCAAGGTTCCATGTTTTACTCTGACACAAACATAAGGACAGCACATTGGATAACCTGGCAACAGGATGTGGTGGTTTGTACTGTCTGAAAATTCCCCAAAAACAGCCTTTTACAAATAGAAATACAGCTTATAAATGCGCTACAGCAAGTTAAACAGAATTATTCTGGGTCATAAAATTCAAGTCTGCTCTCCAGTTCCTGATAGCAGAAACCAAGAGCAGACACAAAAGTAGTTAACTTGTTTTTAATTTAAATTTAAAATACTAACATAATTGCAGAAAGAGAGAGGAAAGCAGGCAGTTAATTTCCACACTGACTCCTGGTGGGCCTGAAACCTCATTATTTCAGCAGAATGAAATGCTTTGCCCGTCCTTGCAAGATTCCAAAATCAGGATTAACTATCACAGAATTGAAATTTACTGCATGATGAAATAAAAGCACATACTCACAGGAAAAAATCTTCCTCTTCATCAGAATCATCTTCTAACAGATTCCGCTGTAAAACAAGTTAAAGTTAATGTGAAAGATGTCTGTCATTAAAGGTCATGAGGTTACTTTTAGAAGCTACGCCATCACATTTTTTAAACTCTCTTAAAATTCACAACAGCTTGAAGACATCTGTTTGGACACTGGCTTATTTACCTATAGTTTTAAATTTGCATATAGTCTCATACCTTCATTCGCAGCCAAGTAGTTACTTGATAACAGAGGGCAAACCATGCAGAACGTGTTGCCTGTGGGACACAGCATTTCTGTTTTCACTTCTACAACTGATGAAAATGTTCAGATAACTTCAAAAGATAAATGGCCTGGTATTTTCTGAAGATTGATCAACAGGGCACATACCCGCACCCTCAGTTAAAGTTTTGGAATTGCAGCTTACTAACAGTGATCAAAACCAAGTAATCCCAGCAACAGACTGATCGAGTGCACCAGATAGTCTTTAAGACCATCCCCACCAACATGGCCATAGCTGCACAGACCATCTTGTAGTTGACTATTTGTTATTTCATTTTTTTTTTTTTTTTTTAAATAAAACATTGCACCCCCAGCTGGCCTTCCAGCTTCAAAAGTCCACTCTCAAAGCCTGCTTTCCAATAACTACTTGGCCATTTCTGGGGAAAAAAAAAATCACTGTCGTCAAGTGCCTTCTTCTAGGTACAGCTTGGGACCCCAAATAGGCTCAACCATTTTGACCCAAAACTCAATTTAAAATTTAAAATTTAAAATTTTGTAATTCTTTAAAAGATTAATAGAATCTTTGAGTAACTCTATACCAAACAATATCACAGCATGTCATTTCCACAAATTTGATAAGGCTGTTTTCAAGCACATGGAAGTCCATTAGAATGTGGTTCAATACATCACAAATTCACTTACAGCACACAACCTCACTGCTTCCCAAAGAGGCAAATCTTCAATTAAATCTCAATTTTACTTGTTAAAAATACAAGATAACACAGTTCAGCTGTGACACAGTTTCACACTTTTTGGACCTCCTCATCCGAGTTACAAGGGACTTGCACTGCAGCAGAAAAGCATAATGATTGTTCTGCTCAAGAATGTGTAAAATTATTTAGTAGTAGTTATTTATGACATACAAGACAACTACTAGTTTAGCAGCAACTCATACTGTTATTCAATCTTTGAGGCTGGAATCTTCTCAGCAATTATTTTTATGCACATCTTCCTGTACCCTTTTACATAGGGATTACTAGACAAAAGAAAAATCTACAATAGAAACAGGTTTAACCCATGTCATGTCTCAATTTAGTCAAACTACATCCTAAATATGCACTTTTCTGAAACAAATCCATCTAATTTGTATTTGAATGAATCAATACTCCTGTTTTCACTAACTTGCTCAGAGACCTGTTCGACAGATTCATTATCTGTTCACTGAATAACGAAGTTGATCGCCCAGAACGCATGGATGTAGAATTGGAGGACGAGGAGGATGGCCACATCAGGAACAAGTCAGCATCCTGGTAACAGGTTGGCAAGCCTTTGGGGAACAAAAGGCCTCAACCACACCTATCACTATTCCTGTGATGGATTTTAACCTCCATCAGATGGATGGATGCCACCTTCAGGGCTCTTCAGTTAATTAAGTCACGCAGGCAAGCAAGGGCACTGCCATGTTTTAGGTTCCATCATATTCATCTGCCTGTGTCTACAGTACTCACCTTTCCTAATGGAACAGTCATCCTGACATTGCTAAGGGTCTTTGACTGGGCCACCATCCTTGATAATGTATCCACTGCCCTCAATAGGCTGGCATGTACAAAGGCAGCCAATTAGGCAACTAGTTGCCTCTATGTGGTTTGCACTAGTGATGAGGTTTGCACTGATGACACGGCACACTTGGGATCCCATTAGGACCAACAAAAGGATTCTGACATCCATTATTAACTCTGCCTACTGTTGATTATCATGATAGCAGCAAAAATATTACTGGACTGCATGTCTATAACCTAAAGTAAACATGCGTTTAGGTCAAATTAAATGGTCCTACTAAACAGCTTCATAGGATAATAAATATTTGTCTGCGAGATAATTGCAAGCAATAATTCAGTCAAGCACACCTAATGACCATTACAGCACAACTCAAAAGGTGAGCACACTTTAGCAATATGACAAGATTGAAATTATTTGCATCTTTTACATGCATTGTTCTTTATTTGGGCTTTATTAAATTCAAAACATTACCTTGAGATACTGATTGAGAAATGAATGGAAATTGGGAATGAAGGGGTAGGGATAGAAATCATAAGTGCTGAATATACCATGTTCTTCAATTTCATATTAAAATTAATGATAAGCACAAAGTTCAGCTTAATTGGGCAAAATTGCAAGTTTGCTTCTTCCCACATCATTGCCTTGTTACTTAGTCCTATTGTTAAGAAAAGGAAGCAAATGCAGATCAATTATTTTACAGTCTCATGGAAAATGAATTCAATCACTGATCTTTATTCTTATTACTAATTTCCAAAACAAGCATCTGATCAAGATGACAGGTTCAGCAAATGTAAACTTTTCTGAAATATACCAATCAATAACTGTGTTTGATTCTGCTTTTGTTCATTCTCTCTTGCATGTGGGAGGGTGTGTGAAATAATCTGTTTTGGCAAACACATTGGCCACATGAGTAAGGTTTTTGCATTCAGCTATTATGGGCCAGCGGAACTGGAAAATACACATACTGTACAAAAAAAATTGGAAGCTGTTCCACTGATTGATCAGCAGAGGGAGTCTTTTCAATGGCTATATATTATTTTGATAAGAAGTTCACCACTGTTAAGAGATTTGAAGGAAGCAAAATGTATCGTGGTTAATATTAAAAGTATATTTACAGGAGGTTCCCAATTTCTGAATGCAACCCCATGCAGGGTGTTTTAATATTAATTTTAAAGATCATACGAACATTTCCTTGTACTTTACGAACGGCTATTTTATGTTGTCCCGCATTGAGTTCCCACTTGCATACAAATCAACTTATAAACAAAACTCAAGACCAGTCCTGTTTGCAACCCTGGGATTGCCTGTATTCACAAAATAATTTTACAATACCAGAATTTAAAGAAATCTGTCAGTGAGCAATAATGAGATAATTCTATTGTATCAGACCTGTAGTTCAAAGGGCAGATGCAATGCACGTACTGGTAAAAAGACATTTTGTGCTAATCTCCGCTTGGGGACTCCAGCTGGTTTCAGTATATTACACAAAAGCTAAACAGGGCAGGAGCTGTCAATTTGAAAGAAGAACATACGGAAAAACTCAGCAAGTTAGACAGCATCTATGAAGAGAGAAACAGAGTTAAAATTTCAGATCAGTTAACTTTTATCAATACCTGTAATCAGGTTTGTGGAAAGGAGAGACTACAACCTATCATTCTCCAGCAGTATGTTGAGTGAGGAAACAAGGCAGACATTCTGCACCAGAAGTGCCATATAACTAGCAATGAGCTTATGGTAGTGGTGAAGCAGTGAGCTCACGTTATGCTGTCACCACTACCAAATGATTCTCTTGTTCCTGTTGTGACATTATGTTGTTGATATTCTCAGTGGGATATTCTACTGCATGTTACAATTCCAAATTTAGGGAGGGGCTGCTATGCTGTTATGTCAAAGTAGCTAAAGATTAGTTTTAAAGTCAGATACTCAAAGCATTTTTCAACAAGACAAAACCAATCTGAAGAAATAAAACAGTCATCACATTAACAATTTTTGTATTACCAGAAGCATTCCAAAGAGAGCCAATTGAATTACTTATGTGAAATCATTCAAACAATGACAGCTGTCATTAACAAATATTTGCATGTGTAGATTGTGAACAATGTTAACTCCACGCTTATAGATTACTGGTCTCATAGATTGAAAAGCAAGTGCTGCACTTGAAGGTCAAAGAGAGTTTGCTGCATTTAAAGTTAATGCTCCATGTATCAACAGTTTTTCCCCTCAATTGCTCTGAATGGAGTAAGGTTTGTAATAAAACTCAATAGGTCTGTGCTCAGGTTACTTCCCTAAGTACCAGTCGCTGAGAAAATAATTATTTCGTTCTATAGACATCATGTATCAACTGGAAGTTTATTCAGGTGTAGTGCAAACAAGAAAAAAAGCCACAACTTTGGCCAATTAAAACAGGCATGGAATAACATGATGAAAAAGTCACTGACCTGAAAGATTAATTCTATTTCTCTCTCCAGATGCTGCCTTACTTGCTCAGTTTTTCTAGCTTCTTTTGTTTTGATTTCACACTTCCAACTTTATCTGCATTTCATTTTTATATTGAAAATAATTAACTGACCTGCAGAACCATAGATATATGGCAGCAAAGGCTGGATAACCTAAAAACTTACCAAGAACAAAGTCTCCATAACTTTCGTTGCCGATGCCTGCCCTGCGCTCTTGGCATTACATAGCAAGACAACGTCACCAATGGAGCAGTACTTTCTCAGACAAAATCGCCAAGCATGCTAGCACTATCAAGCAAAGACAACATCACTAGCTAGTATACGTGCACAGGATGCAAGATTACCACATCCCTAAGGATATGTCATGCAGGGAAGCAGCCTAGGGTTTCCAAAGCTGCAAGTCAACAATGCTGTCAAAAGAGACATGAAAACCCTCAACATTAATCATGGCAAGTGGAAACTTCTAGCTGATAATCAATGCAAATTGCAACATCAGCAGTTCACCACAATGACACATGGTTTCAGAAGCTCCAAAATAGACACCAATCCCTGCCACCAAGACGTCAGCAGAGGTCATCTCACACACTGGTAAGGGGCAACTTCATTGGCAGCATTTGTGGCAGACTTTGCCTTTCCAGAATCGGCTTGTTCGGTCATCAAAAGGAGTGCAGATGATCTCATCTGATCTCTCCAAAGTTCTGAAGTTGTATCTCCATCGTCTCTTATAGATAGAAGGATGTCACCTAAAAATTTTTGGGGCATTTCTTTACTCTTAAAGAGATCCTTTGCAAATGTCCAGTTCTGTTGTTGCCTCTTTATGCATCATATATATCTATGGGTTATTCAAACACAGGAGCCCTAACGTGAGCTTATTCCAATCACACTCAACACCCACACTTGACAAGAGATTTATAAAAAATGACAACAACTGCAAAATCATGGGTGCCTTAGTTGAGACTGATTAACTTTAAAACGTTATCAATAGCATCAGATGGGCTCAAGACAGAAACTAATCATGCCTTAAATAATTATTGCGGAAAGCGGACTGAAGTAATGGGAAAACAAATCTGCACCTCACTCAGGGCTACTATTCACTATTCAGCTTCTGTTCAGTTAAACCACATAAAAGTCCTTGGCTGAAACAGAGACTGCAAAGCACTAACATCTGTTGGTTCTTTCATGATTCAAATACAGGATTCCATTTGGAGTTCTGGGGAAAATAAAAGCCCATTCCAAACTTCCTAAATGTCTCATTGGCAATAGTGTTTAATCTGTTATGTACAGCATTAACAGTAAGAAATCTTACCCTTTCACTTCTTATGGAACCTGTCACGTCGTCATCATTTAAATGTCGTTTAAATTTAGGTGGCATGATTACTGCCAAATGGAATGCGATCTCTTCAAACTGAAGTGCAACAAATCTTCAACCTAAAACAAATAATTAAGTGGTATTATTAAAAGTTATGCATTAGGAACACAAGCAAGCTATTCAAGATTTGGGTCTGCTCTGCCAATTACATTATGACTGACATGGACTATATAGTATTTATTTGCATTGGTTCCATATCATTTGATATAATTACATTAATAAATATTAATGGATCTTAGTATTGAAATTTCACATAGACTCAGTAGCCATAGCCCCTTCTGGTGAGAACATCTCAAAATTCTACAACACCTTGGTTTCCTGATTTTATTCGTGGATAGACAAGTTCTGAAGTTGAATTAAAGACTAAATTTTCTTGAATTTTGACAGGGAAAATAATGTTCTAATCAGTTCTTCCTTCAATCTCTTGTGCTCAACTGAATACAAGGCAAATTTATTCCACCTGTCCTGTAAGTGTATCTCCTTGAAAGTTAATATATTGTTCCCAACTTGCAGTGTTCAGAATGGAGTACAGTATTCCAGATCAACGAACAATGCTTTGAGCAATAGTCTGTCAAAACCTTATTTATTAAAATGTCCATTCCTGCTTAATTTTACCAGATAGGAAAACAGATAAATGAAAAGTATTGCAGCTAATGGCAGAGTTTTTTTTATAACTGAACTTTGCTTTGAAATTGTATGCATGCAAATTCTAAATACAAAATATATGGTTCTAATTTAGCACTACCAATGAAAGCACAGAATAGGACCAATCTTTTACAAGTGAGATTGCAACATAATTTTCCACAATTTACTTACGCTCTTCACAAGTTCAGCAAAACACCAACACATGAAAATGAAACCTTGAACTAAAGAGGTTGTTTTATGTGCACTTGTCAAATAAGAGCCAGGACAGTAAGACAGAAAATCAAGACAAATTTTCTTTGTGGAAAGAGTTTATTAAATATTCAGTTATACAACTCCTGCTACACACCAGTCCCACCTTGTCTTCCTTTATAACTGTCCAGTTATCTGCTAACTACTTAATATCTTAACCTGCTGTTGTAGCCACACAATTTGTATGGCTGGTCCAGTTCACTTTCTGGTCAGTGGTAACCTCAGGATGTTGGTAGTGAGGGATTCAGTAATGGTAGTGCCATCGAACATCAAGGAGCAGTGATCAGATTATCTTTTGTTGAGCTTAGGCTCTGCCTGGAATTTGTACAGCACAAATGTTTCTTGCCACTTGTCAGCCCAAGCTTCAATATTGTACAGGTTTTGCTGCATATGGACAAGATTTACTTCAGTATCTAAATTGTTGTGAATTCTGTATGCTGTGTAATCAGTGAACATCCCCAATTCTGACCGATGATGGAGGGAAGGTCATTGATGAAGCAGCGGAAGATGATTTGGCCCAAAATGCCATCTTGAAATATCCTGGGGCTGAGATGATTGACTAACAATGACAATCATCTTCCTTTGTGCTGGGTATGACTCCAATCAGCAGAGACTTTTCTTCTTGACTCCAGTTTTATTAGAATTCCTTCATGCCTACATTTGGTTAAACGATGCCTTGATGCCAATGGCAATCATGAAGCTCCAGAATTCAGTTCATATTCCATATTTAGGCCAAGGCTTAAATGAAGTCTGGTCTGGCTATACCCCAAATGAGCATTAGGAAGTAAATTAATCCTTTCCAACTGTCACTTAATAGCACCAAATGATGATACCTTCCAGCACATTGCTGATGATTGAGTAGACTGATAAGGCTATAATTGGTTGTTCAGATTTATCCTGCTTTTCATGAATAGGGCACATCTGGGCAATTTTCCAGATTGTCTGGTCAATGTTAATGTTGTAGCTGTACTGGAACAGCAAGACTTGGGCCATAGCTAGTTCTGAAAGCCTTCAGTACAATTGCCAGAATATTCTGAAGACCCAGAGCCAATTCGTCTCAAGGAATGCAGCTGAACTGTATGGATACCATACTATAAGGCTATTATTTTCCCAACACTATCTATGACCTCACCTGGACCTTTCCACTCATTTTGCCTTTTCTTTTGCGTTATGTTCCCTGAATTAAAATTTATTTCTGATGGCCCTATACAATGTCATAAGACTCACCAAATTTTCTCAGACTCCAGACTCCACGAAAAAATGGATGACCTTCTCACAGTTGAGGGCATTCAATTGCTCAGAACAATAAGACGCCAACTGTAATCCCTTACCAGCCGGGGGTGGTCACTCATTACTGAGGGAAGCAATGGATTTCTCCCAAAAAACAAATCGATAGTTTGCAACCTCCAATCATGTGCAGTGAGCTCTGGACTGTCTGTACTGGGGCATATATTAATCTACAGCTTGGTTGGTTCGTTAAGATTTTATAAAATATTACACTTATTACCATAGATAACAAAGTGTGAAGCTGGGGATACACAGCAGGCCAGGCAGCATCAGAGGAACAGGAAAGCTGACGTTTTGGGTCAGGACCCTTCTTTTCTGGCTTGCTGTGTTCTTCCAGCTCCACACTTTTTTATCTCTAACTCCAGCATGTGCAGTTCTTGCTATCTCACACTTATTACCATAATTTCATTCACACATTCCATGGCTCAAGGGACTTTATGCTGCCATGTTTACAACAATTTTCATATTTTCATACACATCCCTAAATTCACCATTGGCAAGGTCACTCCCACTGTCAGTTAGGAATTTAGCTGGTGCCTCTAGCCTGGTCTCTATCCATTTCTCCATTACCCCACTAACAATTGCTCTTTTCTCTTCACTTAACAATATTTTCAACTGGTTAAAACTAGTTGCCACATCTACGAAGGAGGAGATACGGTTTTTCTTCCTTTTCCCATACATTCAAGTTCATTTCTATGATTTTGTTAAAGTCTGGACCATGATCATGTCCTCCTATTCTCTTTTTATTTTTATACACATCATATTTAATGCTGACCTTGTGTATATTTAGTGTAGCTATTGCCTCTTTCTCCTGCATCTTTGCATAGGATTTTTGACCAGACAGAAGATGGATGGGCAATCTGCCAATATAGTTTTAAGATAATTAGTCTTTTTTTCTCTAAACTCCTATCCAATGGTGCGAATAACAGCTCCTTAATAGTTTGAACTTGTTTTATAACGACTGGATTATGTAAACTGTAAATCCACTGTCTTGCCATAAAAAATTGCATTGCCTTGTCATGTTCCACATCTAGTTTCATTTGAGCCCCTCTCATTGACAGTCTGCACAACAGTAAGACTATTTCACCTGACATGATGTCTGTAGTGATAAAATGGTTTATTCTAGCTATTTGCGAGGAAACATCACTTTTTTCAGTGATTCCAGCATGGTGTCACCCCCAAACTTTAAGAAGGTAGATCCCTCCATTTCCTGAACCTTACTTCAATCCTAATGATTTGAAGAATCTTGGTAAAATTTTAACCAATTCATTACAGATGCATTAGATGTGCAACCAAGGCCTAACTAACTGTAACTGAATGGGTCTGATACTACATTCAGCTCTGCATGAAGCATCCTGTAACCAGGATAATTCCTGCTAGCTGATCAATATCACCATCTTCTTCTGAACCCTCCATATCATGTTTAAATTCAAACTCACTGTTATCCTGTTTAAGACAATTCATTGTATACTACTGAGCCTCATTTAAAACATCATTTTGCCTTACATTGGGCACTCCTAGAATTTATTCATATGTTATTTTTCTCTAAATCCTGTTGTTTGACTGTCTCCCAGATACATCCCATGGTTCTCCTTTCACATAGACACTTGTGGCATCCATCTGGATGATCTTACAATGCCACTGTTCCATTCCTTGTGTTACCGCTGCATGTTCCATTTCAGCTGCAAGAGAAACCGGGAATGACTGTTTTCTCCAGTTTTGTTTTAAAAGGATTTTTCCATCTATTCTAAAAAGTGTGTGTTTTGTATCTGAAAATCTAACCCCAATTAACATCAGGCATCTATCCACATTCAACACTATAGCACAGTTAACGGCAACAATTTAAAAGCAAGCACCGATTTTTTTTCCAGAACTTGCATTTGGTGCGAAATCCTTTTATACCCACCTTCCTTTTGAAATTTGAATGTGACCATGCCTCATTTAGGTCATCTTCCTTATGGTTAAAATCTATAACATTTATTAGAACTTTTAAACCTTGCTCAGTCCAACTGTTGACTCTCTACCACTGAGAATAGTTTACAATTGATCTTGCTTCTAGTAGGAAATGACTGTGCCAAGGCCATATTCTTATCTGAGAAGAATGCAAGACATTTCCACTTTTCCATTGATCACAGAGTTCGATTTCACAGCAAACTAGCAGGAAATCGCAATCCAACACGTTACACTAGGTTTCAGTAATTCTTCTCAAAATACCTCAAAGTATTCCGATACAAATGTCAATTTGGATTCATACCAGTGAGGCAGAAATCAAGCTATGTTTCTTTGTGGATAGCACTTAACTGCTCAGTCTTAAAGCTCCTTCCACACACCAGTCCCACCTGCCTCCCCCTTCGCATTCTTTGTTTCTTTTCAGAGATGCTATTACATACCTCTGGATCTTTTTTTTAAACCATGATCAAATCGCCAGTGTTACAAAGTAAAACAATTATCAACTGCCTCCTCCTTTATATCTACCTATTTAGTTAATTAATTATCCCCAACTACTGGCTCAATTATTCTTATATCAAATCTCAGACATCCTGTCACACTGACAGATTGTCAATTATCAGCAAATTAAGAGAAATTCCACTTGCTACTTCATGTTAGAACCTAGAGAGCTGGCATTCAGAGATTTTCATCATTAGCCTGACCCATTCAGCCAAAGACATGACCTTCATCCTACCAATCTGGGCTGGTCTAGATCCAAAAGCTTAAGGCCATTTTCTTAAATCGTAACACTATTCAGCACAGATTGCATATTTTTATTATTATTAAACCCTCCTGAACAATGCCATTAAAATTTACAGAAAAAATGCCGTCTGAAAATGTAATCCATCACTGAAAAAAAATTAAACAGACCCAGATGGTTAGAATGATACTGTAAAAAAGATTTTTGACTTTGAATATATGAAACAAGTAGCTGCAATGTGGAAGGTGCTGTCTGAAAGGATGCTGGCAACAGATTCAACAGTAACTTTTCAAAACAGAAGTGGATATTTACTTGAGGAGAACATTTTGCAAGGGTATGGGGAAAGGGTAGGATGAATTGGATACTTCTTCCAATGAATCAGCGAAATGTGGTAGGCCAGGTGATCTGCTTTTGTGCTGCATGATTTTACAATCCTACAAGAACAAATTCACCAATTTTCTGGTTACTAATCTCTTAACACCAAAGCTAAATTTTAATCATATTTCCAGTATTCCTTCATTACCTTTTATATCACTTCTCAATTTTTGTTGGCACCCCACCTCCTGTTTTGTAAAACAGGAAATGGCAATGGCTAGTACCACTAATAAGTTTCAGACCAAGAATATAATAAAAGAAATAGTGACTGTAATTTTAGGGCAAGCAAAATCAGTACTCCTCTCTAGATGTTTTTAACCAACTGGTTCAGAAACATTATTACACATATCTGGAAGAGATGGGCTTTGAAGCAAGGTCTTTTGGCCCAGAGGTAGGGACACTACCATTCACAACAGACCCTAAGAATTGTATGCCATCAGTTCATTGTTGTATTCATATAGCTGAATCAAGTGGGACATAAGCCCAGGCTTCCTGGCTTAGAGATAGGTACACTACTTCTATGCTACAAGTGCCCACCCTTGAGCCCCACCCCAGTATAGAATACAGTATTGACCTCAGCTGTGAAAACAATTGCAATATTAACCAAAAGCTTTCAAATTAATAGCTTACCGCCTGTAGATTTTCAAGTAGCAGAGTGGAAAATAATTTAAAAGTCCACAAGCTCCTACATCTGTTTACTGCCATTTCCTCATGATGATCCAGGAAATAAAATAGCAGAGGTTTACTGCTCCATCTATAAATTGTCTCTTTACACCGCCATTACACTTCCTGTTCTTATGATTCAGAGACTCCTTTCAATTTCATTATTCGGCTCTCATATGCTAATTAAACAACATATACACATCACACTAGTGTAAGAGATACTTTCAAAAGAAATGTATTACAATGGTCAATTTTTTAAAATATGGAAAAATTGCCTAAGAGAATGCCACATTTTTAAGTCTTAAAATGGAAACAATGTTTGTTTTGCACCAATTGCAGTTACATTATGGATAGCTTATAGTCAAAGCAGTGCCAGACAACTCCTGCAGATGATCATTCTCCACACTTTCCAAGCCTGTGGCTTGTTGTTCTGCACATTTAACATTGTTACAAAGCAGAATCTGCTTGAAGTAACACAAATAAACAGTGCAATTGGCCTGAACATTTACAACATTATGTGCATTTCCATCAACAGCTTTTTAACTATATAGATTAGAAAATCCAGCTTCAAACTCTGGTCTGAGGTAGGCCAAACAACCTAAATTGCAATAGCACTCTGACAGTTGGTTTCGGTTCCTTGGACTTGTGAGGAGAGGTTGGAGATAGAGCCTGCCAGACGACTTACAACTGATTACTATTTGGTCAGTCCTGTCAGTAATTGTGTACACACAGAGGTCAGGTAAAACAGGGTCATACTCAGACAAGTTGTCCACCACAGACAGCCCACCTGCCAACTTTCACTGACCTGACTGGAAACCATTTTCCAATAATTGTTAGCATCTCAGAAGAAAAACTGGCAAAACTAAAATGTCCTTTTCTCAAAATATCCCATGGCACACCCTCAAATAGTATATATCCCTCAAACAACATCACTGAAACAGAATATCTGGTCATTATCAAATTGCAGTTTATGGGATCTTCGTGTTGCAAATTGCTGCATTTTCTACAGTATAACAGTGACTAAACATCATAAACATTTCATTGATTGTTAATAATCCTTGCACATCCTGATGCAATAAGCAACAACAACTTGTTTTACATGGCAACTTTCTGTAGCACTTTGAATCGAGTAAAACATTCTAAGGCATTTCACACGGATATTATCTTGCAAAGTTTGTAGTTCAGCTAGATAATGAGGCATATTCAAAAATGTAAGCAAAGATATACATTTAAGGAGCCTCTCAAAGGAGGCAAGCAAGGTAGAGCGTGGTAGATTTCGGGGGCAAATTTCAGAGCTCAGCACGGAGGCTACTGAAGGCATAGTTAACAATGGTGATGCGATTAAAACTGACCTGAATTAAAATGAGACCAGAATTGGAGAGAGAGAGATATCTTGGAGGACTGTTAGGCTGAAAGAGATCACAGAAGTAGGCCAGAATGAAGCCATGATGTAATTTGAAAACAAAGATGAGAATTTTAAAATCAAGGTGTCACTGGGAGCCAAAGTCAGCACTGTGTTAAGTAATTGGCACAACTTAGGGTAAAAGGAGCAGACTTTTGGATGTTTTGAGTATGAAGAGTGCACTTGTATAAAATCTAAAATTATGCTTTCCGATTATGTCACGGGGGGGGGGGCAACATGGGTATTACAAATTAAGGGGATTAAGATTGATCCGAGCGACACCAGGTAAATGGTGCAGGAGCAGGTATAGAGCCCACCTCGGTATTGGAGAAATGCAGATTCTCTACACTACAGTCAACACTGGTCAAGCATTTACGGTGGGTAGGAAGTTGAGAGGTGACCTTATAGAGGTTTATAAAAGCATGAGAGGTATAGATAAAGTGAGTGGCAGGTGTCTTTTTCCTAGGGTCGGGGATTTCAAGACTAGGAGGCATATTTTTAAGGTGAGAGGAAAAAGATTTTAAAAAGGTACGAGGGCAATTTTTTTTAAAACACAGAGTGGTGTTTGTGTGGAATGAACTTCCAGAGAAAGTGGTGGGTGTGAGTACAGTTACAACATCTAAAAGACATTTAGACAAGTACACGAATAAGAAATCATTGTAGGGATATGAGCCAAGTGCAGGCAGGTGGGACTAGTTTAGGATTATGGTCAGCATAGACTGGTTGGACCTGTGCTATATGACTGAGGATATACATCATAAAATATGTATCCTTGGATCCAAAAAGATATAAGTGACGCCAATGACTCGGATTCCCATTTCTGAAATGTCAGCATAAATGACTGCAGACCTCGAAACACATGCATTTGAAATGTCATAATATTCAAGGCGCTACAGCCAAGTGCTGCAAAGTGGGATTAGTGTAGACAGGTCGGCATAGGCTTGATGGGCCTCTTCTGTGCTATGTGACTTGGAGACATGTGGATCAGTAACACAAACTCAGGGACTACAAGCCTCGGTGACCAATGGCAGGCATAGGGGGGGGAGGGGGTTGGTCTCTGTAACGGTGTAGGAGCAGGAGCTCTGCGTCCTCAAGGCAGGGGTGAGTTTTCCGTGACCCCATGGATGGTGGGGCTGCGACCAGGGCTGAGGGTGGTTCTCTGTGTCCCCAGGGATAGTGGGGCTGTGACTGGGGGGCTAAAGAGGGTGGGGCAGCTCTCTATGACCTGGGAATAGGAGACCTAGAGGTGGTGGTGGTGGTGGTAGGTGGGGGTGAGGCACTCTGTGACCGGTTCCGTACAGGGGCATGGTCCGTCCTCTCACCCACTCACCCACTGACGGATCCTCCGGTCCGGGGTCTCATCCTTACCTTCTACCCGCCTCCTCTCGGGCCCGGTGTCTCTCGCCCAGTCCCCGGTTGACTGTGTCAGCACGGCTTCACTCTCCCGGGGCCCCGGGCCTTGGCCTGGTCTCTCTCTCTCTCTCTCTCTGGGCCTTGGCCTGGACACTGTCACTCTCCCTCTCCCTGGACCGCGGGCCTTGGCCTGGACTCACACTCTCTCACTCTGTATAGTTTTGGGCCTTGGCCCGGACTCTCTCGCTCTCTCTCTGGGCCCCGGGAGCTGCAGAAGAGTGCGGCCTCGGACCGACACAAGCCCCGCCCCCCCCGTCTCCATAGAAACAGTGTGTTTTGTGTGTTGTGGGGGGGGCGGGGGGGAGATGGAGGTGAGAGAGATGGAGAGAGTGAGAAATGTGCCATGTGGGAGGGATGGTGAAACTGGGGGCAGGACAGATTGGGAGGGACAAGGAGGTAATTTTTACTTGTTGCTGGGATGTGAGCATCGATGGCAGCCCACACATCTCCCTCCCTAATTACCCAGAGGGCATTTGAAAGTGAACCACATTGATATGGGTCTGGAGTCACAAAGGACATGAGTGAACCAGTTGGGGTTTTATGACAATCCAAATGACATTAGTGTCATTGATTTATTTATTGTCAAGGGTATTTGTTCCGTGTACTTGTTACAAATACGGTGAAAAGTGCTGTGTAATGTCGCCGCTCTCCAGTGCCATCTTAAACAAAAACCAGACATAGAGAATAAAGGTAGAAAAATGAAGTAAAAGGTTCAACATGACAGTCTGTAGCCATAACCAACGTGGACATTATTACACCAACTTTTAATTCCAAACTTTTTACTAGAGTACACATTTCACCATCTGCCATGGAGGAATCAAACCTGTGCCCCCGGAGCATTAGCCTAGCGTACCAGTATTATTACCACAATGCCACTGTCTCCTCTAGGGGGTAGTAGGGGTGGGAATTGGGGAGAGGGAGAATCAGAAGGGAGGAAGCTGGGGACTCAGTGGGGGGATTGGGATATGGTGATTTGGGAGGGTGGGGAATTGCACGGGAGGGAGGTGGGCGGAATTGGGTGAGGGAGTATTAGGGAGGGAAGGGAAAATTAGGAGAGGGAATAGGAAGGTGTTTGGGAATGTGACAATTGGGAATGTCAGAGGGAAAGAAGGAGAAATATGCAAGGAGTCAGGAGGGCTAAAAAGGGTCATGAAAAGTCATTGGCCAACAGGATTAAGGAAAATCCCAAGGCTTTTTATAGATATATAAAGAGCAAGAGGGTAGCCAGGCAGAGGGTTGGCCCTCTCAAGGAAATGGAAGGGATTTTTTGTGTGGAGCCAGAGGAAATGGGCGAGGTATTAAATGAGTACTTTGTGTCAGTATTCACCATAGAGAAGAACTTGGTGGATGATGAGTCCGGGGAACGGTGTGTATATAGTTTGGATCAAGTTGAGATCAAAAGGGAGGAGGTATTGGGGGTCTTGCAAAACATTAAGGTAGACAAGTCCCCAGGGCCTGATGGGATATACCCCAGAATACTGAGAGAAGCAAGGGAGGAAATTGCTGGGGCCTTGAGGGAAATCTTTGTATCCTCACCGGCTACAGGGGAGCTCCCAGAGGATTGGCGAATAGCCAATGTTGTTCCTTTGTTTAAGAAAGGTGGCAAGGATAATCCAGCTAATTACAGCCATATGTCAGTGGTAGGGAAATTATTGCAGAGGATTCTTCGAGACAGGATTTACTCCCACCTGGAAATCAATGGGCATATTAGCGAAAGGCAACATGGTTTAGTGAAGAGGAGGTCGTGTCTCACTAACTTGATTGAGGAAGTGACAAAGATGATCGTTGAGGGTAGAGCAGTGGATGTTGTCTACATGGACTTCAGTAAGGCCTTTCACAAGGTCCCACATGGCAGGCTGATACAGAAGGTAAAGTCGCACGGGGTCAGAGGTGAGCTTGCAAGATGGATTAAAAAACTGACTCAGTCACTGAAGACAGAGGGTAGCAGTGGAAGGGTATGTTTCTGAATGGAGAGCTGTGACTAGTGGCGTCCCTCAGGCATCAGTGTTGGGACATTTTCTGTTTGTAATATATATAAATGATTTGGAGGAGAATGTAACTGATCTGATTAGTAAGTTTGCTGATGACACAAAGGTTGGTGGAATTGTGGATAGTGATGAGTACCGTCAAAGGATACAGCAGGATATAGATCGGTTGGTGTCTTAGGCAGAGAGATGGCAGATGGAGTTTAATTCAGAAAAATGTGAGGTAATGCATTTTGGAAGGTCTAACCCAGATGGAAAATATACAGTAAATGGCAGAACCCTTAAAAGTACTGATAGGCAGAGGGATCTGGGTGTACAGATTCACAGGTCACTGAAAGTGGCAACGCAGGTGGAAAAGGTAGTCAACAAAGCATACGGCATGCTTGCCTTCATTGGCTGGGGCTTTGAGTTTAAAAATTGGCAGGTAATGTTGCAGCTTTATAGAACCTTAGTTAAGCCACATTTGGAATATTGTGTTCAATTCTGGTTGCCAAACTACCAGAAGGATGTGGTGACTTTGGAAAGGGTACAGAAAAGATTTACCAGGATGTTGCCTGGTATGGTGGGCATTAGCTATGAGGAGAGGTTGGAGAAACTTGGGTTGTTCTCACTGGAACGATGGAGGCTGAGGGGTGACCTGATAGAGGTCTACAAGATTATGAAGGGCATGGACAGAGTGGACAGTCAGAAGCTTTTTCCCAGTGTGGAAGAGTCAGTTACCAGGGGCCATGGGTTTAAGGTGCGAGGGGCAAGGTTTAAAGGTGATGTACAAGGCAATTCTTTTTACACAGAGGGTGGTGGGTGCCTGGAATTCGCTGCCGGGGGAGGTAGTGGAAGCAGATACTATAGTGACTTTTAAAGGGCGTCTTAACAAATATATGAATAGGATGGGAATAGAGGAATACGGTCCCCGGAAGGGTAGGGGGTTTTAGTTGTGATGGGCAGCATGTCGGTGCAGGCTTGGAGGGCCGAAGGGCCTGTTCCTGTGCTGTAATTTTCTTTGTTCTTTGTTCTTTCTTTGTTCTTGTTCTTAATGGAAAGGGGGAGTTTGGTGCAAGGGAGTACATTTGGAAGGAGGCTGAGGGAATTAAGTTGGGATAGATGGATGGGAGGAAGGGAAGCTGAAGGATTGTTATCTTTGCTTTCTACATTGTAGAGTTTCACTTGGTTCTTGTTTACTTGGTTACTGCTTTTGCCCCCTTCTGTAGCTTAACAGGACAGCAACTTGCTGCAAACTTCATAGGCCGCTGACCATCTAATATTCTCACCACACCTGCTTCAAGTTGCCTCTGCAAAAAAAAATTCGTATAAATGGGAGCTTATGAAAACTATGAACATTTCACTGTTTTTCACTCCTAAATGGAACACATTTGTGTGCGTTTTTTTTTAAATGAGAAGTCAATTAATAATGCCAAAAATGACATTTTCACATTTTAAGTATTAATTCAACAAGAGAGTATGTATGTTTCAAGCAGCCTGTAAAATCTTCATACTCTTTTGAAAACTTACATTGATACTAATTCAACAAACTCATCAGTAAGTTAAATCTTGCATATAAGACTGCACTGTTTTGTTCAGGTTCATGAAGACTTGTGGAAGCCACAAGTTCTTACATGACATGTGATGAGGATGAGAGTGCTGGTCATTCTCCTGTGACCTCATGTGGTTTTGCTCATCAGTGATTTCTATTTCGGGCCAAACTACACAGCACCTGGAAGACCCTGGTGTACCGGTCCATTTGGAACCACTGTCGGAGAAGCTGCTTGTAGTTGGCCACCAGATGCATCAGAGAGGCCAGTCATCCAGTTATTCTGCCTCTTCTCTATGTAGATATCTGTATTCAGTGGTTCCTCTCCACGGCAACAGTTTTGAGATCAGAAACAAGAGATCAGAATCCCACCACTTCAAAGTCTGATGCTCTAGTTTCAACATGCTGATAACACAGACAGAATGAAAAAGATAATGTTGGCCTTCATAGCGAGAGGATTCGAGAAAAGGAGCAGGGATGTCTTGCCATAATTGTAGAGGGCCTTGGTGAGACCACCCCTGCACTACTGTGGGCAGTTTTGGTCCCCTTATCTGAGGAAGGATGTTCTGGCCATGGAGGAAGTGCTGCAACAGAAGTTTACCTGACTGATTAGTGAATGGCATGATTGATGTATGAAGACAGAGTAGATTGATCAAGACTATATTCACTGGAGTTTCAAAAAATAAGGAGTGGGGGGAGATCTCATAGAAACCTATAAAATTCTAACAGAACGAGATAGGGTAAATTCAGGAAGGATATTCCCAATGACAGGGGAGCCTAGAACCAGGGGTCACAGTCTAAGGATCCAGGGTAGGCTATATAGGACTGATATGAGGAGAATTTCTTCACCCAGAGAGTGGTGAGCCTGTGGAATTCTACACCACAGAAAGTGGTTGAGGACAGAACATTGAATGTTTCAAGAAGGAGTTAGTTATAGTTTTTAAGCAGCACAGTAGCTCAGTGGCCAGCACTGCTGCCTCACAGCACCAGGCACCTGGGTTCAATTCCAGCCTTGGGTGACTATTTGTGAGGAGTTTGCATGCTCTCCCATGTTTGCGTGCATTTCCATTGGGTGCTCCAGTTTCCTTCCACAGTCCAAACCAGTGTAGGTTGGGTGGATTGGCCATGCTAAATTGCTGTATGGTGTCCAGGGATGCAGAGGCTAGGTGGATTAACCGTGGGAAATGCAGGGTTCTGGGGATAGGGTTGGGTGGGGTGCTCTTCAGGGGTTGATGCAGACTTGATAAGTTTAATGGCCTCTTGCCACATTGTACAGATTCTATGGATTAAAGGTACATGAGAAAGAGCACTGTGTTGGGTAATTAGGAACGGCAAAGCAGGCTTAAGGGTCTGAATGACCCACTCCTGCTCCTATTTTCCATGGTTTTTAAAGTTCTATGATTTAAATCCTCTCACGATGAAGGCCAGAAAATGTTTTCCAAACATTTCTCATTAACACAGGTTATGTTTTTAATTGTGATTGTATCACTGTATCACTGTCAACATTAAATCGTTATCAATATCCTCAAATTTCAATTAAATCAAAAGAAGTTTTGTGTTTGTTATTCATAAATTGATCCTTCTGCACAAGTAATTTTCCCTGTGTTCCAAATCACATTTGACAAGATAATAACTTTGTACAAATATAGGATCAGCATGTAATATGTAACTTTCCCTCTTAGGAGATTTCATAGACATCGGGAAGTTCAATATTTAGTCTTTTACATAGACGATATTCCTAA